ATCTTGAAATTATATATTTTAAAAAATTATTTGCTCGCTGAACTGGAGTTCTAATATTATTTCTTGCAGGATTATTTTCAAATGTAACATCCAAAATATCTGGTTGAACCTTTTTCTTATAAATATGTTACTAAAAAACGCGATCCTACTATTGTCGTGTACAAAAAGTCTCATCAAATAATTTCACTTCAATATTGCAGATGTAGCAAGTTTTAAGCACAGATAAAAATTGCTAATATTAAGCGTAATCACATTAAATGTCTCCGCAGCGGAGCCAATGGAGCACTAAATGTTAAAATTTATAATGGTGTAACTCATTTTTTGGAATGGCAACATTTCTGGAAACGGTTCTATTAATCCTTTCGCTACGGGTGGGTTCTTCGCCGCGGTACTTTCGCTGAACGGAGCGCCACGACATCACTGCACGCCACTATAGATAGATAGTAGGTTTTTATTGGCCAAAAATTTCATATACAGCGATGTTACAATTGCACGCCACTATAGTGGCCCGTAGTACCTCAGTGGCATCTTATGGAAGGTCACTATAGTGGCCCGTAGTAGCGAAAGGGTTAAGATGCCTACACTGCACTGCTATAGTCTACAAGGTAGATATGTTACAAGGTGCTTCTCGTTTCATTTGAACGTAGCATTTGTAATTCATGAAAGCAAAGCAAAGTTGGTCGAAAAGTGACTTACACCATTATAGCTTTTCAATGAATTTGGTATCAATTGGCATGGCATCTTTACCATCTTTAACATATGCAAATTTACTACAAATAGAAACAGATAGTAGAAAGAAAAAGAATAGAAGCCCTTTTTTATTCTTGGCGCGTTGTCGCCATTCTTCTTTCTTACGGATGTTCACACTCCATTTATTATAGATCTCAATGAGAACTACTTTTACTATCACTAATAGGCTCGATATTATATGTAGGATCACTAAAATCTTTTCCTTTTCGTGTGACTTTAACAATAAGCTTATCCAATCATACTTGCTTTTGTCTCGTTCTGAGGATTTCATAAAAATCTTGTATTGTTGTTAAACAAATTCGTCGTTCGCTATTGAATTGAAATTTATAAGAGACTTTTACTCGTCTTACGAAACATTCGCAGATCAAGTTACTCTTGAATCAAGATTTTCCTGCATATGAATATACGCACCGCTTATTAACATTGTAATGAAGTAAAACGAAGCTTGCAAGTTCTAAACTCTCATGTGACAACGCTCCGTAATTACTAGCGCGGCAGAAGTCATGGTACATGCAATTTGCTGAAGTTTTAGTTGATTTATGTAGCGAAGTATCGTTAGGCGTAGGGTGCGGAGGTCGCACAAACCCCTCCAGTCTACCATCCCTTCCGGTGCCGGCTTCCTTCCTATATAAACTGTTCGTAGTTGCGCTGTGGTCACAGTCATCGCAGTTTGGATCGCGTGTCGCGAGAACAGTGGAACCCCTTGTTTGTCCTGTTCAGCCGGGAGTCGATACTTCGGAATTCGGTCGAACGGGAAATTTGACATAAGAGATTGTCGCGAGAAATACCGAAGCAATTCAAATTAACCATTGAGAAACGTGATAATATCTCGGAATAAAATCAATAAAAAATAAACATCACTAGTAGTTTGATGATTCATGTTTTATAAAGAGATAATTGTACATAAAAATTTTTTATGTATCGGTAATTTAACAAATTAATAAACGATTACTAATTGAGCAATGCCAGCTATATGGTCGTCATCGGAGAGACCGATATCTGTGCGAACTGTATGGGTAGACGGAATTCGACACGCAATTTTGTCGCCCGATGATCCCTTAATCAATCGGAAATCGCATCGATTTCATTCTCGTATGTCGAGAAATAAAAGTTACACGTCAGAGTATCAACAGTCGGAGTCGAGACTGGATCGACTGAACAGCTGTTTCACGAACTTGCAAATGGTAGTTAACAATAAAGAAAGTAGAACCTCTTCTCAGGTCTACCGTAGATTATCCGCGCAACCCTGTCCCAGAATGTCGAAGAGCGCGTCTGATATCAATACTTTCGAGTCTTTTATGATGGATAGAAAAATTGAAAGAAACCATCACTGTCGCAGAACAGTGAAGGGTTCGGATGTTCTCGTTGATAAACGAGTTCTTAAAAACGACACTCTTGAAAGGAGAACATCAGAATCAGATTTTAAATGCAGACAGACAGAAGGGATACCGGATACGTTTTGGAATCCACTATTTGAAAGAGTTCTTCAGTGGCTGGATTTATCCGGGAGAGCGCAAAGTTCTGATTTCGAGGACGACTTTGCAAGAAGATCGCTGCGCGATGAGCAACAAAAGTCTAGCTCTGCTAAGAACAGACTTCCTCGTTTAAAACATGATTCTTTTGAAGAAAGAGATTGGTTGATAAGACAAAATTATAAATTATGCAAAGAACGTAGTTGTGATCTTAAGACGGAAGAGAATAAAATGTGTCAAGATCGATTACCGAAGATAAAGAATGTGAAAGAACAGTCTCAAGAACGAAATGAAACGTCGGTAGAGACTTTGCCCAGTACATTAAACGATACAAAAGCATTTTTAAAATTAAATGAAGGAAAATTAAAAGATGAAGTTAGAGAAAGAGCACCAATGACGATGTGGTCTTCCCCTGGGCGATTAAAATTACACATAGTGATACCGAATGTTGTTTGCAAAGAACACCAGATATCGAAAGATTGATAAAAAAGTTCGAAACAATACGTTATTTAAATATTATTGCATGCATCATAACTCTTCAGTATCTTAAAACCTTTTAACATCTTCATAATGTTTCTTGAATCACTGTTGAAAATCATTACTCACAGTACTGCTATTCTATTATTATAAGTGATATATTTAATGAAAGAAGATTATTATGAAAGAAATTATTATTAACTCCACTTAAAGGTAATTAACTAAATATTTATATTTATTGTACTGAAACACATTTCATATTTACGAATTTTTCTTCCACTAAAATTCTGCTTATTTCGATTCTTCTATAACTGAAATTAATTACTTCGTTATTTAGATCGCATGCATGAAAATCAATTTTTGAATGTTAATTAGCGCCGACATTAAAACTCGATTGCACGAGGAAGTACATTCTCTCATTTATATCGCGTTTCTCTATTCATTCACACGAGCGCCCATCGGTTTCATCCCCTGTTCACGGCTTTTCACTAAAGCTCAATGCGTCGCAATAAATCCCGTTTTATTGAGAGTCAATTCGATACCTATTATTTTGCGCGTGAACGAGCAATGGAGAATGGTACCGGCGCGAGACATCGCGACTGACGTATTTTACACGCTTTAGCACCGTCCGCGTATCCGTAAATTGAACAAAATACGTATTAGTTATAGCGAGGGTCACTCAGAAAGTCAAATATAATTAGAAGTTACGGGATATTGAAATTACCGTCAAACGATTTTTCGTGACAGGCCTACGGGACATTCAATAACGCATTATAACGTTTTACGTAGCGCGGCGTTATTTCCGGAGTAACATGTCTTAGACGTATGAGTTTTCGTTTACGCTTTGAAACTTGTATTGGAAGTAGTTCCGTTGGCTTTTTAGTAAATAGACGTTTCGCTATTCAGGACTTCAAGCTGATCGATTTATATGGGGTCTTTTTCGAACTTTTCGCAGTAGCAATACCTATTTGTAGAGAACGAACAGTTGTCCCTATCTTAAAATGTAACTTTCATAATGACGTTCACGTTATTAAAAGCTGCAGCAGTTCTAAATTGCCTTCGTTTCGCGAAATATTAGGAGTGACGTGATACACCGTCGGTCATAATGTAATACAACATGCAATAGAAATTTTAAGTTTAATTAAAAGAGATAAAGAGATCTTATTTCAATAATAATTAGCTTCAAAGGTATCTAATTTCCTAATTTACGAATCGGTTAATCTCTGTATGTTTGTACGTTTGTGATTAACGTAGGAGCGTTGATAAATATTTTACGTACATGGCATGGCTGAACTATGATAAACTTGTTCTACTTACTCATAAGCGCAGAGAGCACTACATATTTATCTATACATGCAGTGGGTCTATGATAGTGGCTGGCAGTTCGTCTTTTTAATTTTGACTACAACATCTACTTATATGAACAAGAAATTTTTATAAAAGTAATACAGTAAAGTTTTATTTGCCTGATTATGTCAGGTGATAAGAATTTACTTCCTTTCTATCACTGTTTTCTTTTTTTTATATTATTGATACTAGATTTCATGTAACTGAATTTGTTTTCGTCGGACTGAATATAAAACGAAATAACGACTTCATTTATGAATATTTTATTTATATATGATTTATTTCATTATCCTTCCAATTCTCAATATACATATGTATATGGCATAGTCAGTAAATCGAACATTGTGATGACATTAGTTCAGATAAATGGATATGGAATAAATTGCGAGCTCTGCTGTATTTCATTTGCATTGTTCGTTTAAAAATTCAACTTTTATTTAAATCGTTTGACGTTGCTATGTTCGCAACTGATTGAGAATTAACAAAATCACAGATTTTAAAGATTTTCAGCCTAAAACTTAAGTAAATCAAAAAATTTGTCCAACTTTTTTATGCGTCGACCGATTTTTATGAAACCTTGTACGTGCATATAACATTCTCAGATCTGCAAAAAGCATCTTTTACATTTTTATTAGAAAGCCAAATAAGAAACTTGAAAATTATACCATTTACTCTTTCCTTCGTAAATCTGATTTACAGCGAGTTTTTAAAATTTTTCATTACACATCGTACAGTAAATTAGATTCTCTAACACCTAAGAAAATTAATTTGTTACGCCAAATATTAAGAGAATCATTCAATTTTTAAATGTGCGAATATTTATGGGCGTCACTGTAAGTCTGTAAAAGATTCAATAGAAGTTAGATTGTTATCTAAATTCCTTCTTTTTCACAAATCTATTTCACGGATCGTTAACAGGATAGTATTTTCGTAGAAATCGTGATAATCGCGCCGATAGATCTGAGAATGTAGCTCAATTGAAACTTTTCGATGGAAATCCGTGAGCTATCTGGAGGATTTCGTGCCAAGTGGTAGTTATTATCGTACTTGGCACGCGGTAGAAACTCCTCTTGGCGCTAATCACTCGCGTCGACTGCCTCAAATTGTGGTGTAACATTCCGTACACCGAGGAGTTGTTCGGAATTATGCGAGATACGCGATTTTCGGGCAAACAGAAACAATGTGGATAACTAGTGGAAATAACGTAACCATAACTTTACTCGTTGCGAGATATACAACGGAGCGTGCCGTTTTAGAAGTAGCATCAGTATAAGCGACATGTTTCGTGTGCTAATGCTGGAATACTGATGAATACTTACACATTATTTCTGAGACTTGGTGCAAGAAGTGCCAGTGTCATCATTTTATAATAATAAGTTAAACCTGTTAAGTTTGTAAACGTTTGCATAGTCTACAAAAATGCTATTTATATGTATAGAAATAACTACATTATAATATAATGGCATTTTCATATTGCCAATATGAAAATTTGTTATAAAATAAATGAAGACAATATTTGTAGAGAATACAAATAAATAATCCACACTTTAATAAAATCGTGAAATACGTTAGAAAAGATATTTGCACCAGCAGAAATTCCTACGTTAGAAATTATTTAGATATGAATTTTAAAACATGGTTTTTAAGTTCTAACATCTCAGCTTCATAAATATTGACATTGATACTTTTTGCTCTAATTATAAGCTACAGATTTCAACATTTAACAAAAATGTTAAATAATCAGACTGGTAGTACATGATGCGGCATTCTATTTTTATTTGATTATTGCAAATTTTAGGAACAATTGGATACTCTGAAAAGTTTAGTAACGGATATTGACACTACAAGATTAAAGCAATTATTATCATGCGCGCACGCTTTCGTCACACAAGAAGCTGTAACTTTAGGTCTTCCAGATTTTCCTCTGGATAATCTATCATACGCAGCCGTTATAATGGTGAATACTTCATTTTTTTTTTCTAAAAATTTTCGTTCGTTTAATGAATTCTTTGTTAATTTGAGTGTAACCGCAGGATAAATGTCCATACCTGTCGGTGTTCGATATTTTTTACAGATGCTATCCGTATAAATTATTTTTGGGGAAAGAGGGCCAAAGCGCCGTCGAAAGTATACTAGACACTTTTAATGTTCCATACAGAATAGAGATAAACGACGTTACACTTTTAAAACGTGCGAAAGTAGATAAAAGACAGGAAGAACAAAGTTCACTGGCTGTTAGCATAACGCATGCTGACGGGGAAGTAGGGTTGAATGTGAGTAAAATAGCTATGTAGACTGCGAACTTTTATCCAAAATAATACTTGTATGATATTACTTTTAAAAAATGGAATCCGTATTGAGACGTTTTTACCCTTTAAACACAATTATGTATATTTATGAATGTATATCTTGCGTGCGTTCTTGATGTTTTCTCCACATCGCATTTCTCTATAAAAGTATAAAATTCGCAGTCTGACAATGACAAAGGAAATGAACAAATTGGAGAACCGTTTTCCAACAGTATATGTTATTACTAGGTTTCTTGCGGCACCAGGAACATAGATACAAGTGTAAATGAAAATAAATACGTAGAAACGAATTATCAAAATAATTTATTAACAAGTATGTTGGAGTCTCATATCGTTTCTGACTTTTGTCTAATTGGCCCAAAGGGTTGCGGAAAATCTATAACAATACACACGCTAGCTAATTTAATGGGATACGAAGTAGAACCTATAGTGCTGTATCAGGCAAGTGTTTCTACTTGTTTGTATTGATCTTTCAATGTAAATCAAAATTCATTTGAAACAGATCAAATATTTTCTTAGGATATGACCTCCAGAGATTTGATACAACAACGGAGCACGTTGTCCAATGGTGACACGGTTTGGAAAAATTCGCCGCTCGTTGACGCGGCTTTAGAAGGAAAATTAGCTATTCTGGACGGAATTAATAGAATCGATTCAAGTACTTTAACTATACTACATAGGTACATTCTTCTTAAAAATGTTCGACAATTGGAATCGGAATTAAATTCTGCGTTCATTTCTAGACTGGTTCACGATCGGGAGTTACAATTGCACGATGGAAAAAGGCTCATTAGAGCTGATCGTTACGACGAAATAAAAGAGAAATACAACAAAACCGACGAGGAATTATTAGAATCGGGTGTATTACGTATTCACCCATCGTTCAGGATCGTAGCTTTAGCGGAGTCACCCGTAATTAAAGCGTCCTCGAAGCAATGGTTGAATACAGAACTACTCAGTTTGTTCCTTTTCCACGAAATGAGGCCACTTACCAAATCGGAAGAAGCTCATATCATTCGATCAAAGGTGTTCACTTTTATTTTTACACCCTCTTCAAAGTTTTTTCAAATGCTAAGTGGGATCTTGTATTTTTAGTACGGGGAACTTTCCTCGGCGTTATTAAATATTTTAGAATTGGCGCATGTACTGCGATCCTCCAACGATCCGACCGTCCAATCCTTGGCCGGGTTTTTGAGTACAAGACAGCTCTTGAGGATAGCGGGAAGAATGAACAAATTTCAAACGGACGACGCTTATAGCGCAGTGCAACGTGCTTGCCTCGCTCGTTTCTTACCGGCGGTAGCGAAACAAGCGTTGGATGATTGTTGCAATCGCGTGGGTATCGTCCCAGCGAAAATGACAGTGAACAAGAACGTCAAATGTCAAGTAATAGGAAACACCGTACAAATTGGTAGCACGGTCATCGAGCGATACAACACAACGGCTTTAACAAAAGTGCCTGACATTCTATTCTACGACGTTCCGCAGCACGTAGCTTTGTTAGAAAACTTATTGCAGGACTTTAGCGTGGGACAGAATTTATTGCTGGTCGGGAACCAGGGTGTCGGTAAAAATAAAATCGTCGATCGATTGTTGCAACTTCTAAATAGACCGCGCGAATACATACAGCTTCATAGGGATACTACCGTCCAAACTTTGACCCTTCAGCCGATGGTTAGGGACGGAAAAGTTGTATACGAAGACTCACCGCTTGTGCAGGCCGTTAAATTGGGACACGTGCTTGTCGTTGATGAGGCGGACAAAGCCCCAACTCATGTTACTTGCATTTTGAAGGTATGCACACAATTGCTCTATTAATATTATTTCAAAATAGAATAACTTCTTTAATATTGAAGGCGTTTACTAAATACTGTGCAAAGAAAAGTAGTTTGGTCCAAAATTGAAAGTTATTCTATTTCGAAATACGTATGGATATTAATAGATGCGGATGGATGCAAATGGAACGGACAGTATTTCGTTGTCGGAAGTGTCTAACTTTTCTGATTCCAGACTTTAGTCGAATCTGGCGAAATGACATTATCGGACGGTAGACGCATAATATCCTCTCAAAATGTTGAAATGAAACCAAACATGATATCGCTTCATCCAGATTTTAGGATGATAGTATTAGCGAACAGACCTGGTTTTCCATTCTTAGGCCACGACTTCTTCGGAGCACTTGGTGACCTGTTCAGTACGCACGTCGTCGACAATCCGAGCATTGATAACGAAATTCAACTTTTGAAGGAATATGGTCCGAACGTTGATAAGCAAATAATATTCAAGTTGGTCAAAGCTTTCGGCGAACTGCGAAACATGGCTGATCAAGGTCTAGTTTCGTATCCGTATTCAACTCGAGAAGTCGTTAACATTGTTAAACATTTAGAGGTGAGTTTCTAAAACCTTAAGTTATGTAATGCTTCACGAAATTCCTTTCTTCCAGAAATTCCCTCAAGAACCGTTAGCTAATGTGGTGCGGAACGTGTTCGATTTTGATCGATATAGCGAAGAAACTTTTAATACATTAGTGTCTGTTTTACATAAACATGGAATTCCTCTTGACACTAGCCCCAACAGTATTGCATTAGCGAAACAGTAAGCAATTGAATATGAAAATAGCATTTTTCATGATTTGCTTATAAGAATTTTTATCTCAGAGAAATACAAATGTCTATTAATTTTTAATATGTATTTATATCTATAAATGAAACAAAATAAAATTTAGGAAGCATACAGTGCTTAACATACTTTCTTTCCTTTTCCTTTGCAGAATATCTTTACCCGGCAACAAAATTAGTGCTACGTGGAATTTTTCAAATAAACAAGAAGTACTGCACGTACAGGAAAAATATGTTAAGTTTAAGTCGCCGATGAATTTAAAACAAAAAATATTGCCTTTAGATCGCGTTGAAGCTAGATCAGCCTTGTTCACTGAAATGCAAAGTTACTGGACGATACCAATTGGTAATGTTGGAATAATCGCAGGCTTGTCAGTTATTAAAGGTACGAAAGGCGACGGAACAGATGATAAAATAAATATTCTTACTATGAATCCATTGAAAATCTTTAGTATGAATCAGGAGTCAGATACGATTCAAGAAACGTTTCTACCGAATTTAGTAAACTATGAACCGGGATATAAACCTCGGTTTACAATGGCGATTGCCAAAGATAAAAATATTTTAGTACACGAAGAAACAGTAAGTGGTTTCTGCATCAAGTAATAAGTAAATAAATATTCCTTCACTCGAAGTTATTTTAAAAACCGTCTACTTTTCAGAATAACATTCTATTATTAGTGAACGTAAATGAAAGATCTGTTCGAAAGTTAGAACTGTTATCCTTCTTCAATATGGCATCGGACAAAATATCAAACGCTTTCAGAAATAGCAACCCTCGCTGGAGGATGAAAACTGATTTGATAGAATCACATAATCAAATCGTTTTCTATACTTGTAATTCCAACAAGATGGAAGTAACTGACTTAAGTTCTATGTGTTCTTACACACTTAATTTACCGTTTGATGTAGAATCGATTTTAATTCCGTCAGAGAAGAAATGGTTGATCCAAGATACAAAAAAGAACAAATATGTTCTTAAAAAATCAAATGATTCTGTCCCTTGCCCAAATGTCTTACAACAAGTAGAGGAATCTAGTAACAATGATTTCAAAATTGGTTCATTTTTCACTTGTGCTAACAGTAATCTGAACAGTAATGTACTTAGTGCAGCACTGAAGCAAAAAATAGATGCGCCGAACAGATTACTAGTGACTAGCAACACGTACGCAAGCATTGTGGTTGGATTTCCTGACTTAGATAGTTTCAACGAGATTCATTCCTGGCCGAGGTCACATCGTAACGAAAGCTTCTCGCCTCCGATCGTTATGGAGAATGGTCAAATCGTTCGAACATTATTACCTCACGAAGTTCCCGACGAAGTTCTTCCTAAGACTGGAAGATATGTTGGAATCGCTGGTTATTTGGAAGTTGTTGACACCGTAAATCATAAATTGCGCTACATACCCATACCAGAGCAAGTGTCCATGGCTAATTAGTAATTACAATAATTTAATTAACGTATTCTTTAATTTTATTTATATTTATGTTTTCAGGCCGGTCAGTGTGTCGCATGTTACACAATTTTTGTACCCGAATAGATATCCCTTGTACGTTGCGTCGAAATCAAACCAGGATTTTGTAACAGTGGATGCAGGTGGTTGTGTACGACTCTGGGAGACGTCGTTAGCGAATATCGAAAAGTCTCTTGGCGCATGGCGAAGAATGGTGGGGAGCGATAATGAAAATTTACAAATTACTAAAGAAAGGTATTCCGGATTGGATGTCAGTGGTCCCAAACATGGTAAAATCGATGAAAAGAACGAACCGCACGTTGGAGGTAATACGTGGGCTGGAGGAACCGGAGGTGTGTACGATCCTTACAGCGATACATAGAATGTGTACACAAGTATGCACCGGGGTTTAGACGCGTGATGAAAATTTTAGGAAGAGACACAGCCGGTCTCGGTGGGAAGGGAGGACCTTATCGCTTGGATGCCGGTCACACGGTGCATCAACTTAGTGATGAAGAGAAGAATGCGGTACCGGAACATATAAAAAAGGCAGCAAGAGAGATGGGTCTTAAAGCATTTCAGCAACGTTTAAAAGAGATTAATATGAGCGAATATGATCATAAGCTTTATTTCCAGTTCAGCAACGCTGTTCAGCTGCAAGTTAAGGCCTTAAGAAATATAATAGGTAAACATTTAATCATTAATGTTGCACTCTTACAATTATACGAAAATTAAAAATTATTTTTTACAGACAGTTTACAGTCCAAAAGTAAAGAACGTCAGTGGTGCAGGCACCAAACTTCTGGGGAGTTGGATGATACGAAATTAATTGAAGGATTAACAGGCGAAAGAACGATTTATCGAAGAAGGACGGAAAAAGAACCCGAGTTCGGTACACCACCCTCAAAACCGAAACGTTTAAAATTAGTGGTGGATGTTTCCGGTAGCATGTATAGATTTAATGGTCACGATGGTCGCCTTGATCGAGAAATGGAAGCCTGCGTTATGGTAATGGAAGCGTTTAGTGGATACGAAGGAAAATTTCAGTACGATATCGTTGGTCATTCCGGCGACGACTATAACATAGTTTTCGTAAAGCACACTCAACCGCCGGCAGATAATAAACGTAGATTGGAAATAATAAAGGTAACAGAAGGAAATGCTTCGATTAAAGTTAAGTCGTGGCATTAAGAACAAATTCGTTTCAGACGATGCACGCGCATTCGCAATTTTGCGAGTCCGGTGATAATACCTTGCAGGCGACTCAACATGCGATCGTAAACTTAGCGAAAGAAGATGCCGACGAGCGTATCGTCGTCGTACTCTCGGATGCCAATTTTGATCGTTACGGTATTCGGCCGGAACAATTTGCGAAAATTCTTACTGCGAATCCAGACGTTAATGCGTTTGCTATATTCATTGGGTCACTAGGCGATCAAGCTACCAAGTAAGTTCAAAATTTTTAAACGTTTTTCAAATTCAATGGTTCTGCGAATGTGCAGAACACGATATTTATGTACATTTAATTTTAAGCTTGACCAAAAGAATAACGGCAGGACGTGCATTCGTCTGTATGGATCTTAAGGACATACCGAGAATACTACAACAAATATTTTCTGCTTCTTTGTTAAGTACTACAAGATGAAGTCAGTGTACATATCGTAAATGTAAATTAACTTTGTATTATTATAAAAATATTTGTAAAGAACTTAATCAAGGAACATGGAAACTTTTTTATATAGATTTATCATAAAGATTTTATATAATTAATCAAAGTTTATATATACATATATATATGTATGATTATATTTTAAATTCAGCTGTAATGTTTTAACAGACAATAAAATAATTGGATAGCATCGAAATTAATCGAAATCGGCAGTATATGAGCTTAATTAAAATTTATGTAACATATTGTTAAATATAAATAATGTAAAAAAACAAGTCTCTCCTTCATTACTATGATGAACATACCTTTCCGTTGTTACGTCAAAATAAATGAAACATCCCCTTGTAAAATAACACGTGATATCGAGTAGTCTGCGAAGTTGGCTATGAACATCCCCATAGCGACCGAATCAAATTACGTTACGAAAGAAAAGAAACACGGAAATTATACGCTGCATCCGTTTTCGTTAAGCAATCGCTAGCAATCGCGTTATCAGTGCTGTAGAGATACATACCGTTAAGGAACTAAGAAGTTCTTGTCCAAAACGTCCATCTTTCCAACTTTTATTATATTATAAATCACTATTAAACTTTGAAACCTTATAAAACGATCAAAAACGTGCGTTTCCCGAATTCGAACCGTTAACGTCGACAGCTGTCAACAGTTGCTCGAAAAGCTCAGGACAACCGGGACGAGCCGAGGTTGGCCGACGAACGTCGAGTCTAATCGAGAGCGTCGAGTGGTGTGGGGTGTGCATCCGTTAGTCGCACGCCGGTCGTTGAATGGAGCGGGTGTGGAGACGCGTACAAGGTGCCGGGCGTCGCGGTGCCGCAGCTCGCTGTGGCTGCCCTGTACAGCCGTGTCAGCTGCACGTGGATCAACGCGCGAAACGCGGTGGCGGACGAAAATCTCGCGGCGGGCCACAGACGATCGTGTGTGGTTGTCAGGTGCAGCCATGCCCAGTGCATCCGGTACTGATTAGGGTTCGTCGTACCCGACCCGCGGTTCCCAACTGTGACTGTCCACCGGAATCCCAGCCGTGCCCGCACGCACCGCGTACGTCGGCTGTGCGAAGGATTCGAAGGTTAGTGAACGATCTTCTATCATCCCCTCGTATCTCGTCGACGTCCTTCGTTTTTTTCTCGTTTGCTCGGTCTGTTGCTCTTTTCGAGGCAGCGTACGCACTCCACTGTGAGTTAAAGGGGTGGAAGGCACGAAGGTCAAAGTAACAGCGTGTTGATCGCAGAAGCCGTAAGCGAAGCTCGAAACGATGTTACAGTATAGTTAATCTGACGTCCTTACTTAAAGTGAAAGGTAATGCGTGTACTTAACGACGGTGAGCGAGGGGATTACGTTTTGCAGTACTTAGAGCAGAAACAGTTTGACAGGTACGACTTGGAGAGTCCAAACACATTCGCGTGATTTTGTTGTGTCAGGTAAGACGGAAAGGTTATTGACTCATCGAACAGAGTAACGATGGAGGTTGAGAAATAAATCGAACTACGTTGCATTATAGCATCATATTCTACAGGTAGTTAACCGGGAAACTGCTTGGTTTCTATCTCGTTTTTCTTTATCTGGTCAAAGGGACGATTGAGAGTTGAGAGATGTTATAACAGACAGCTATTTTGCTAGAATCTTTCTTTTATGGGCAAATCGTTTCGGTTATGAAATGATGCAAGTATATATACCTTCCAAATCTTGAAAATAAATAAAACAAGTTGATTATATTATTTTAATCAGTTTTCAACAAAAAGATTGTATTAAATTTTTACATCTCTGTAGAATGCTGTTTTTACAATACTCACTTGGCACTAGTTCTCACGTATACTATTTATTACAACCTAAGGAAAAATTGGAAACAAAGAACTAATTGTTATTTTACTATGTTTCATTATATAAGTTGTCATGTTGCTTCAGAGGGTCATTCAAAAATATTCCATTATGCTGCTTTGGTACTTTATAATAGTCTCTCTGATAACAAAAGATTGTCGGCTATTAGACAAGTTTTCCCCATTTCGTGTTTTAATTTGTTTAATTTGTTATCATTTTTCATCTTTATGCTTGCTTGCGTATACATTGTATAACACGAACCATTTTCTATTTCCCAAAATTTTACTTTTTTCGTGGACAAATAAAAAAGGTCGACTAACACTATTGTAAGAAAGGGCAATTAAAGATTAAATGCAAAGATCGAATAGAGCTAGATTCGAATACCTGAAAACAACGACGAGGGAAAGGTCGTCGCAAACGCATGTTGAAACAACTCGGAAAAGAATGATTAATCAATCCTGCAATTTCGCGTGATTTTGTTGTGTCAGGTAAGACGGAAAGGTTATTGACTCATCGAACAGAGTAACGATGGAGGTTGAGAAATAAATCGAACTACGTTGCATTATAGCATCATATTCTACAGGTAGTTAACCGGGAAACTGCTTGGTTTCTATCTCGTTTTTCTTTATCTGGTCAAAGGGACGATTGAGAGTTGAGAGATGTTATAACAGACAGCTATTTTGCTAGAATCTTTCTTTTATGGGCAAATCGTTTCGGTTATGAAATGATGCAAGTATATATACCTTCCAAATCTTGAAAATAAATAAAACAAGTTGATTATATTATTTTAATCAGTTTTCAACAAAAAGATTGTATTAAATTTTTACATCTCTGTAGAATGCTGTTTTTACAATACTCACTTGGCACTAGTTCTCACGTATACTATTTATTACAACCTAAGGAAAAATTGGAAAGAAAGAACTAATTGTTATTTTACTATGTTTCATTATATAAGTTGTCATGTTCCTTCAGAGGGTCATTCAAAAATATTCCATTATGCTGCTTTGGTACTTTATAATAGTCTCTCTGATAACAAAAGATTGTCGGCTATTAGACAAGTTTTCCCCATTTCGTGTTTTAATTTGTTGTTATCATTTTTCATCTTTATGCTTGCTTGCGTATACATTGTATAACACGAACCATTTTCTATTTCCCAAAATTTTACTTTTTTCGTGGACAAATAAAAAAGGTCGACTAACACTATTGTAAGAAAGGGCAATTAAAGATTAAATGCAAAGATCGAATAGAGCTAGATTCGAATACCTGAAAACAACGACGAGGGAAAGGTCGTCGCAAACGCATGTTGAAACAACTCGGAAAAGAATGATTAATCAATCCTGCAAAATGGTCAAGTCTCAGGCTCAAGAGGTAGGCTTCGAGGACGATAGCCTAACTTATGACACTCTCAAGTGTTCTGCACGTTGTAGCTCGTACGTTATTTTACAAGCGTTTCTTCAGTTTGTTTTATTGTCTTACAAACAATATTTTCATCTGAGTGATTTATCTCTATGACAAAAAATTGTGTCGATTGGAAACTGGGAGGAGAAGTCGTGAACTCAGCCTCGATCGTGTCTACTAAAAGTAGAACGGAAATGAACAGAAACTGACAGCAACGTATTTTTGATTACGGGAAAAGCCAGTAGCATTTGTTGAGACTTATCTAGGTTAGCATGAGGCGAATTAGATGCGACTGATAGTGACAGAAGGTATTGAAATCCAATAAGATTCAATAGAATATAATACGTCTTGATAAAATGTGATTGTACCGGTGGAGGAGTGACCCAAAGCAGCAAAGCTCGAGGAAAAATAAGGATCGGCTTGAATTCAAAAGAACTCGCCGGGTATCGGATTATATTATGTTAGAGCAGTTCGATGTTATGTATAGCTGATAGCTTAATGTACGACTCAGCTGTGAATGTTCGAATAGATCTCATAAATTATCGGTGTATAGGTCACGATGTCAATGGCATTCGCCTCATGGAACCTGACTCGGAGCATAGGCCATCCAATTCAATGGTTGCAAGGAAGTTCCGATTTTAGTGAAATAAGTTTTCCGGGTCATTATATATATGTAAAAGAGGAAGAGAGAGAAATGCTCCAATTATTATTTTACGACTATGGATATTTTATTATTTTGAACAAACTTTCGTTTGATTATACGTTTCAAATATAACAAAAAGCTATCGACATATGATACGCAGGATGAAAGAGGGCGTTTGTGTAAAACAATTGAGCTAGACGTGAAGACCTTCTAGTTGGCCTTGTTGATCGTCTAATGTCTAATGTCGAATCTGTAATTGATAATTAATTGTCTGATTTTGGTGATCGGATTGTGCATTAAGTTTGTTCCGTGGAAAACTTCGAAGTGTTCTTTTACTTCCTCATGTAACAGTTAATTAAAAAAAAGTTCAAATTCAATTAGCATTTATTTAAAGACTAATTTCAAAATCTTTTAGGAGTATTTGTCAATTACTTGGGTGATAACGAATTTTTCTCCAAAGATTATATTTAAAAAAGTAATAAATGCGCATCACTGATTTTACTCATCGATCAGTCAACAACACACACGTCCTATTTTTTATAGATGCGACTGTCCGGAGCGGCCCTGTCGACATTTCGCTCTCAGTGGTGGCACACGACATCGAGTGCTGGTGCAAGCGTCTTCACCCACTTTCTCCCAGGCGAGCCAGTCGAATCAACAACAACAGCAGCAGCAGCAGCCGTGCGAGTGCGTCGACAGAGCAAACTGCACTCACACAGGGGGTGGCGAGTGCGAGTGCGGGGAAGAAGTGAAACCGTGTTCGCACACGGCCAGGCAACGCCGGTCGCGTCGCGCGTGCGATTGCAGCGGGAGCGGGTCGCAACCGTGCACGCATAAGCCACAGCACGAGGGCAGGATAAAGCGTGTTAAGTGCCGCGTGAGGCGCGCCGGTTGCGCTATGGCCAGGTGCACCGCAGAACTCGCGATGCTGCACCTGCACTGGGGTCTCGCCACCGAATGTGCGCCCTGCAGACCGCGCGCACTCACGCGACGGCTCTGCAGGAGGCAGCAAAGCGACAACGAGCTCTACAGAAGCAACAGCTTCAAGTTCGAGCGATTCGAAAGGAGCAAGGACGAGTGCACCACACCGCTGCGGAAACAGGTGAGTACATCTTATGCTTTTCCTCTTCAATGAATTTCTGCTCTCCCAACTTCCCTGAATACGGGGTTATTGCTCGTTCGTTGCTCGGAACTTGAACTATATTGGCTACACCTACATTGACTTCTTCGAGCTTGTCATGTTAACACTTAACAGCCCACAAACTGTCGTACAGTTAACAATTAGACTAACTACAGACAAGACAATTAACTATTATAAGAGCAATTCACAATGAAAATACTTTACATATTAAGTTGACCTTTTTACATGCTATTCACTTGCTCTTATATGGTAGCTGAAAGTTGGTTTTATCAAACATCAATGCGACAGTTGTCTAATGATTATTTTTGTAAGGTATCGTATATTAATCCTGATTTTCTGATAACTCAAAATACATCATATGTAATTAGTTTGACACGCTGTTAATTAAAACTAAACAGTAGAAGGTTTTTTGAAAGTATGTTTTTGTAATAAAATTCTCTTGATAAGAACAATATTTTTATTAAAATGCAGACAGAATGAGTCGCGTGTAGCTACGAAGGTTTCTATTTCTATTTTCTTAGAATGCGCTCAAATATCTGTAAAATGGAATTTTTATTAGTTTTAAATGGCTACTCTGGTTTGATGAATTTTTTACCCTGAGGGAATGGTGTTGATTCACACTAATTGTTCTGGCGCTTTATTCTTCTGAAGGGAAATGCTTTCTTGCATTTGTAATGAGCGTAATGGTCGGAGGTTTTTGCTTTAGTCTGTCAGACAGTATACTGTTGTGAAAAACCTATGTATTGCAAAGTCGCAACAGATAATTACGTCCATACATGCATAATTATTCACTCAGTTAAAAACAGCCGTACTGTACATAACATGTTTAATTACGCGTATGTTTGTAATTAACCATGTGTATATATACGTTGTTTAATTACTTAATTGATCGTTAATTAAACTGTTAATTGATAATATCAATCAATGCGTCATAGCATACGAGCCTTTCTTTCGATGTTTGAATACCTATTATTCGTGTTTATATTTACATGTAAATATTTATATTTATTCGAGAAAGGAGATGAGTCCACAAATATTGCATATTACGATGTATCAAGATTTGTAAAACGAAGTTAACTTTGTTCAACGAAGTGCTTATACTAAGTGAAGAATGAAAATGCGCGTGGGAGTTGTGCAAAAGTCAGTAAATAAAGCGACGAGTTCTACTTAAGGAACAACTTGGAACGCACTGAAATTAGGGTTGGGTATGGTATCCCACTTAGCGTGTAGACGAGTCCTTTAAGGTGTAGGTATGTTTCATTCGACAATAACAGTACACCGGTCTTTTATGTGGACGTTGCATAGGGTTGTTCAGGAAAATCCTCTCAGGAATACGAGAATGTATCACTGAAAAAGTAATTTATAGTAAACTTTTCCAGGATGAACTATTTCATAGTTTCTGTTTTTCTATACACAAATTTTGTTAAAAACATTGGCCATATTAAAACGGACAACAGTATAATTGAATCCTTTGAGAGAATGTTTGTCAATTGTTTCAGTGTTTCCTGCTTTCGACTTTATTGTTCGTTTCGATTGAATGCACAAAAAATATCAAAATTCAGGGAAAGGACGAACACTACAAGCTTTTTTAGAATACATAAAACATATTTGACATGTTACAACAGCGGGAATAATAGGACAGACAATATGAGTGTGTAATATTCATCGCTTGTTATATCCATTTCTTTAATTTGAATGAGATGCTGTTATTTGGTGGAAAAAGTCAAAACCAACTTTAGTCAATGCATTTCTACTTCCGCTTACGACATCCTCAGCAGCATCGTAGTTACATCGGAGCACCGAAACGAATAAGAATTTTTTTATTCCATTGTTCCGTAAAATTGGATTTTTGCGTGATGGAAATTCCGCGTTCGAAGATTTACAAGAGTGGTCGGATGAATGTATCGTGTATTAAAGGAACAATTTTGCTTTTATTGCACAAAACGTGCCTCGAGGCAGGCACGGTGAAGATTGCACCTGCGATGGCGTATCGGATAAGACGCTTCCAGGGATTCATCCCTGAAAAGGGAATTTAAATTGGAGCAAGATGGAGTTACATCAAGTTCGTGAATACGAAACAGTCGAAGCATGAGACTTTTGTGATACCCGCCCACCGCACTGGCCGAGGTTTCTTAAATAGATTTCACGCCGGGCTGATACCAAGACGCCGAAATTTCCTGCAAGCCGCGGATGGCGGAATGCATTAAACGGCAACATGTGTGGAATATTTTCGATATTAATTTCCAAATTACGTTCAGCACGTGCGCGTATTAAATTTTTGTCAAATGGCTTTTTTTTTTAAAGAAAATAATGATAAGCCAGTAAATACCGTACATGATATTTAAAAACGCTGAACACAATCAATATAACAAGTTTAGACTAGTGTTTTCAAATATACTTGATTCTGCTAATGATTCTACAAATACATATAAATTGAATTATTAAATGCAGACTTATATTTATGTATGTATTCCGCTGCATCACAATTACGTGGGCACTTGCTATTTTTTTTAAATTTGGGATAGGATAGGAATAATTATTATTGTTAAATAATATTTATTGGTTTATTCTATTACTTACATGTATTAAATATTAGTAGTAACTTGTCAGCGGCAGCTTATTTTTAAGAGTTGTCAAGGACAGTTAACCCGGGATTCCTCGTTTTTTTTAAATAGCTTTACGATAGGGACCCAGCTTGCATGGGCCTTAAGAGGCTTTGCAAGGGTAGCGTCCAAATGACGGGTGGCCCGAAGCCACGCGGCCATCGAGTGCCATAAAATACGCTGGTCATGAGGAAACGTGAAAACAGTTAGGGAAGGTAAAACAGCTAGACGCGGCCTAGCACTAACAAACAAAGATATTGTTCCTAAGGATCTGGCCACGGAGTGCAAGGGTGCCTTCTGGTAAGAGGACTATGAGGAACAGCATGGCACTTACCGCAGATTTTCGGGTCGGGTAACATCTAAAACCTAACAAACTCTAGTACTACACCGAATGAATTTAATTATCATTTATTTAATACTAAATTGATCATGAGTTATCTAAGTTCAGTGTAGCCTGTTTATTGATTATTTATATGAATTTTTGAAAATTAAGTGAAATCCTATTGATTCTGAAATAATAAAGAAAATTAATAGCCGGAGTGCCTCATTCTGTATAATTTATTATTGTCACTAAGA